AAACTCTTAAAAAATGTTAAAAAAGTCATATTTTTGATATGGAAGAAAAACACTCGAATTTTCAAAAAAATTTGCTTTTTTTTGATTATTTTTACTTCCTCAGGTGTTTCGAAACATGTTCATTCAATGTAGTTTTTCACCCTGCATCGAATGAGTATATTTTCAAACATTTTACATAAGGATACTAATGAAAAACAGCTGAATTTAGTGTAAAAAAGACCACATTTTTTTCCCCATAAAAAGTGTAAAAAATGCGAGTTTTTTGGTACACTCTTTAGACAGTTTTCAGTGAATTTTAACCCAACATCTCTGATTAAAAGCTTTTTCATATATACAGTTTTGTAGAGCTCGACGAGCTCTATCAAACCATGCAAAAATATCCAAGAAAAACATTTTAATCCATTTTTCAATTACTGGCACTTTACTTTTCCACCGCAAAAAAAGTATAAAATTTCTGAAAGTTTCTTAAGTTCGATGTTAAAAAGTATTCATAATCCTTACTATTTAATATCAATAAACTCCATTTTTGATGAGCTTTCATTCTATATAAAATTCATTATGTCTTCTATTTGCAATTATAGCGGTACCCCCCTGGCAAAATATTATTTGACACCTAGTATAATGCATAATATTAATGTTTAATTATAGAGTTTTTGAAATATTAAATCATAGATTTCTGTCCAAATTCTCAAAAAAAAATTTAATAGTATTTGTGTCTCACTATCCCAATGAATTATATGAATCATATAAACAATAATTTGAAAAACGAAAGTTTGAACTAAATTCTCGTTCAATATATTCTGGTCGTTGAATAGATAATGATTTTTTCTGACGTTCATTAATAACTTCATCAAGCTTAAACACAAACTTAGCAGTTCAATCAAGAATAATTTTAACCTCATAACTGATTCATTAATTAATTAATTAAAAAGATAGAAATGAAATTTTATAACTAGGATGCATACTAATGACTATATCGAAGTAACATGACACAAAGTAATTGAATAAAAGATGATCCTATAGTTCAATCTCGTTTTGATGCTTCATTTGGACTACAAGAATATGCAACAAGCATGTTTGATGATAAATCATTCTCTGTGCCACCTTCACGTTCGCTACGTTACATATGTTTCGACCATTCTGATCGATATGCTTGAATAAGAAATAGGCGTGATTTTCCAACCCAGATTGTTGTTGATGAATCAACATAACGTTTTACAATATCTCGTATAATAACATCTTGTGAATCAGCTGTAAAAAAACGAATGGAAAAGTCTGCGAAAAAATAAATAAATCATGAATGGTAAAGAATCTAAATATCTTACCTATGAGACATAATAAACACAATAAGACACTCATAGTTTCCAAATTTATCTTGATCATCAATTTCTTTTAGTGCTTTATCAAGATCACCTTTTTTTAAAATCACGTTTACACTGTAATACTGTAAATTTTAGTTCACGAAAAACAGTTTTTATCAGATCGACATCTTTTTCTGATCCTGCTCGTGTAGATGTCTGATAAGAACAAGATGAACTAAATGCTGTGATATTAATTATTACATATAAAACTTTTTCTAGCACATTTGATGGTGACGACTGTGCTGATACCGGTTGTTGCATAATCGGACAACATACAGATACTTCTTGAATTTTTTCTACAGATGATGAAACTAAAACTATTATTTAAAACGATTTTTTCTTTTGTATTGAAAACAAAAAAGAATGTTTACTTGGTGATTTTATTTGTTCACGATTTAGAAATAAAAATTTTGTCATCAATAATAATGAAACTAAACAAGGAGGATTTTGATGTATTATAGACTCTGTTTCGTATCATTATTTTTATTATATAGTAATACTTTATAATGTTTTTCAAATGTGATTATAAAATCTTCATCTTTTAATAAATAATTGAAAAGCTCGAATAATTCGATCAACATCAACCTTGTGCGTTGCAAAAAAAAACGAACATTGAATTAATAAAGAAAAAAATTTCGGAAAATTTTCACCTAGCTTTATATATATATCAAATAAACTATCAATAGATTGTCGAATTTTCAATACAAATTTTAATGACTCTAGTTGTTCTGATGATATAGAATCACCAACATGTGCTAATAAAAATCAATATGCTAAATTTAATTCATCATTAATAGAAAATTTTATATTAGATTTTAATTGCTTATTATGATTGTTCATAACTAATTCAGATAAATATTTTTCTTTAGTGTATCATTATTAATGGTGTATCATTATATTTTGCATGATAGTCTTTTCTAATAGTCAATGAATTTTAAAATTTTTCTTTTAAATTCTTTGATAAAACAAGTAACTGTGTACAAGCATCTTGATAATGAAAAAATCTTACAAGTAAATTAACACATTCACTGTCAAATTGTCCAAGTGTTGATGAGCATTGTTCAATAAATTTTTTTGTTATATCTAACATATTTATAAATAACTGTTTATTTTTAATTTTTTTTATTATCTTCTCTTTTCGTCTTCTATCTTTAATTGAAGCTCTGTTTTTGTTTTTTGTTTTTTTTTGAAATGAAAGAAAAACGAAGAACTTTTGAGAGTAAAAGAACTAGAATGAATAACAATCAACGGTCGCCGAAACTACATACACAGTACGCATCGGGAAAATTTGCATAAGAAGAAAATAAGACAAACAAGAAAGAAAGAACAACAAAAAGAAACGAGCATTATTTGTCTTTATAGTTTGGCAAGGAACTGAATTACACAACGATTGTATAACATATATAAAGCTGGAATTCTAAACGTATTTAAATGCTAGATAATAGGTCTAGCTACGTGTGGCTAAGAACTATTGAATATTTTACTGACGACTAGATTCAACAAAAGACACAGAAAAAAGAATATGTACCACATAGCACCACGTTTAGCATTCGTCGCATGTTCATTAAGTCTTTATTCATATATATATATATATAATTATAGACATGTCGATTTTACAACAGCAAGCAACACAGTTACATCATCGGGTTTTCCACCTAAATTAAACAAAATATATAATTTAATACGGAACTCTACAAAACGAATGAGTGAGAATACGAAATTAGTCGGTTTGATTAGGTTAAGATTTTTTTTATTCTATTTGAAGAACTAGGAGGACATGCTCTGATTAATTATTCTATTATTTAATCATATTTTGAAAATTTTATTACTGTCCCTAGTCAGCTGTTTGTTCCTTTAATCATGAATATGTTTATTTACTTTGGAGTGCATGCGTGAATTATCCAATTAATAAAATACTTTTAAATATCTTTATTGTCAGAGAATCTCATAAGTAAAGAACAAATAATTGAATTTTTTTAAATTAATCACTTATCAAACAGAAAAAGTTCTATGATAATAAATGGACAACAGTTTCGTATATCTCAGTTTAAACTAACAAAAAGATATTTCAGGATTAATTGATTGCACTCTGAATCTATTTAGAAGAAAATGAAACATACCATGAAAAGCTTTGCTAAACGAAGAAAATTTTCAGGAAAACAAAAGTTTTCGTTAATAACTACCAAATTATTAGAAAACAGTTGGTACATTATATCAGGAATGATAAAAGAAAACATTTGCTTGTCAAACAGATTTTTTCTGTTGCTTATTTTTACGTTATTATTTGTTTATAATAAAAAATAGGCAAAGTCATTAAATTGTATTTAAAAATATAAATGGGCTAATATTATTATTGATCTGACAAAAACTACTATTATTAATCTATGACAAGAGAAAACAAAAACAAAATTAATCTTCTTTCTTTACCACAAATATTAATTCCCAATGATCTTTTAGCACTTCGAGCAAATGGTGAATAGAAATTTGGATCATGACCATTTTTTAATGCACGTTTAGCTAAACTGTGTGCTATTCGTTGTAAATTATCCAATGTTGGCTCCTAGAAAGAAAAACAATAATAATTCAAAAAAGAAATTTATATTCTGTATTTTACTCTCAAGAGATTTGCTGCTCATCTGCTGTCGTTCTCTTTTTTTCTTTTCCTCTTTTATGCTCTTTCTAATCAAATTCTGTTTACAACATGCTGACAAAACGACGGCTTATGCTAGTAACATTTCTCGCATGTCAATCAACTACAATCGGAAACAGCGCGATAGTGTATACAAAAAAAAAGCCCAGATAACATAGTTTTCCTAGTGTCGGCTTCAATCTTATAGCAAGATCCAGCACTATAATGAAGATGATGAATGAATGTCAGACATTCTATGTATATAACGCTTCGTGTCTTCTTCCTTGATGTATCAAAATAACAATCTATCAGCTGCCTGTAAACCATATATCTAAACGGTTCGTTTTAGTAAATATCACATTAGCATAAAAAGAAAAGCAAGTGTAAGTGTCGATATATAACTATACATATTACGTTATGAATATACACATTCCAAAATGGATTCTTGCTGCGTTTGTTGGTGCAGCTCCAATGCTTGGAATTGTATTTTTTATATTATTTTCATGTACACTACTTGGTCTTGTACAACGATGTAAAATAAGTTTAACAAAATCATATGCAAATAGAAGAAAAACTATAACGAATGATCAATTATTTACTGAAAATGAAAATATTAATCCATTAACATTATTTACATCCACATCAAATACACTTATTGTTTCACCATTTGATGATATACCAATGAAAGATATTGATGCTGAATCATCATCAAAAGCATATTCAGAACCAAAAGGTAATTTATTTATTTTTTATTCAATTTTAAGAAATTTATTTCTATCGAATCTTTTCTTTTCTTGTTTCTCCTAAGATATTTCAAATTCTTCAAAATTTCGACGAAAACGAAGTACGGATCCTTCTCTAACAGGATCTGATTATGATAATGGCTCATCGAGTGTTTTTGATGATAATGATTATGAACAAGATCGTTTATCACTGATCGAAACTTCATCGCAACGTAGAATTGGAATAAAACAACAAAAGTCGCCCGATACAATAATCCATATTTAAGACTAACTTACTTTAATTTGTTTAATTTCTTCAAGTATTGTAGCATCAGGTAAATTATCCCATAGACCATCTGTTGCAATAACAATAAAATCATTTTCTTCAACATCAAACGAAGTCACTGATGCTAAATCGGGACTGGAAGACAAACAAAAAGAACCATATAATCAATTACATAAACAATTTTTTTTCTAATTTTCGTGGAGCTCATAGCTACTTTTTGAAGAAACTAGTGAGTGTAAGTTAAAATCAAGACTTTTGCAACTCCTGAGCGGTTATTGTAATGTATTTATGTATTTTTTTTTGAGATTTGTTGACTTGATTCAAATTAACGGATTTATCTGTTGATGGCATATAATCAAGACTGTGGATAGGTTTTTTTAGTGATGGACGCAGCTAAAAATTTGACTGACAATCAGAGGCAGTCTATCTTGTAGAAAGTGAGTGAGAAAAGCAACTTTCTAAAATCTAGCAGTCAATTTTCCAGTATGAGCTTGAAATTTTCGCAGATGCGACACACTAAATAAGAGGAACTAGCCAACGTCATCCTCTTCCACATCAGAACCTATGCATATAATGCATTTTACCTGTACTAAAAGAAAGCCAAAGTACAGAAGAGTTAGCTATGAACCTGAATGTTATTTCTATCCTTACCCTCAACAAGGTACTTGTCTTCGACATAATGTCTTCTGTGTGTTGATAAAATATATGGTAGGAGTTTATAGAAAAATCTCGGAAGTTGCTGAAATAGTGATGTGTTGATTAGTCGCAGTCATCATGTAAGCAACATAAAAAAGTGTTCACCGATCAAGTTAGAACTTTGGGAAATAGTTGATATCAGTATTTCTGAGCTTATCAAGATAACTAATAATGCGTTGAGAGGCCTGCTATAGATATCATCGATATACAGAACAGACAGATTTGCCAATTGGACGAAAGGTTAAAATAATAAAAATGTTAAATTAAGAAAAACAGAATACGAAAATAAGAGCAACAAGATAGACAAAAATATAAAGTGTCACTAAAAAAAAACTTCTGTTCGAAATGCAGAAATAAATAAACAATATCAGCTGCCTGATAATCGATTATCCTCGAAGAACCACAATAGGTTAATAAAGATTTTTCCCTTGACGTATCTTGTATTACTATAATAAGGTTAAAGAACACACACAAGTGAGTTCCACATTTTATTCCTAAAGGAGATCCGCTGAGAAGTGTTCTATTGAAAAAAAAATAAGACGACAACAGTAACATTATTTTTTTTAATGCAAAAAGCAACAGAAATTGTTATTTTTTTTCTTTCCTCGATACATTTACCTATGAATATTAATTATTAGTAGTCGAAAAAAGAAAACGTTAATCTTATGATAACATATATTCTCTATATAAAATTTAATTGAAAAAAACAGGATAAAATAAATTCTTTTTTTTTTGTTTTGTTCATACCTATCAGCAATTAAACGTGGATCTTTAATTGTTGGATGAATAGCTAATTGAAATGGTGAATTAAAATAATGTTGTTGCTCTTGTGATCGATGTACAATTGTATTTTTTCTTATAACAACAAAACCACTGTCACCTAAATTAGCTGTATGTAGTATTCTTTCTTCATTATGTAATGCAACAATGCATGCTGTACTACTTCCTAAATGAGAAAATTTTTTGTTTTCTTTTTTTTTCTATTTGTAAAATAATTTTTATTACCAATAATACATTGTTTATCTTCTAATAATTGTTTATAACCTTTGGATAATAATTCTTTTAATGTTAGTGGATTTAAATCAATAAGTTTATTATCAATTAATGATTTACATGCATCCATTAATGAACGTGAAAATAAGGATGGATCAATACCATGTTCACGCCAACCGCCAACACCATCGGCAACGCCTAAATATTGAGTAAACAAAAAAAAATTGTATTCAAAGATTTTTTTTTATTTTTATTTATTCAAATAAATAATAAATACCAAGAAAATCTCCTAAACGATGTTTTGTTATAAAAAAAGCATCATCACCATATACATTTGATGGATGTGGTTTTTGTTCTATTAGAGAATTTCTTCGTTTTGTTTTTGTTATACATTCATATTCATTATTATCATGACTTGAATAACCCGATGAAACAGTGACTAGATGTACAGCATGTTTAATTGCTGTTGATGGATATGTTATAGCAAGACTATTGGAAGATTGTGTTGCATGCACAGAAGATGATGATAAACGTAATAAACCATTGAAAAGAATATGTTCAGCTTCTGTACTACTAATAGCACGTGCAAATAATCGAGCATAAACAGATAATGATTGCATACTTAAAGTAAAATTATCTAAATCAATAATTAAATATTAAATTAAGAAATGAAAAAGAAAAACAAACTTTGAAAGAACTTTGGACATCGGCAATTGATTACCTAAAGTGAAAAAAATTGTATTTTATTTTATTTCTACATGCTTAAGCCTACTGTCAACTTATTTTGTTTGATCATAGGAAAAAAAAGACACTGAAAATGTGTTTTTTTGTTTTCAAGTACCACTTTTTCTCTTTTTTTTGTTCTATTCGTTTGGTAACAAGTTGTGTGGAGTGCTGCAGCAGCAGCAACAGCAACAGCAACAGTATTTTGTATCACTAATGTATTGAAAAAAAATTCTTTCTCTCTCGTTCTTTTGTTTTTACTTTTTTCTCTGAGGTCAATCTATGCATTAACAAATAAACGTCTATATGCTTGTAGCCAATAATCAACACACAATATCTAACTGAACTATTCAATATGAGAGAGAGAGAGATTGGTTACTTTCGAAAAGAAATTTTCATGTAAATAAATAGAACAAAAAGAAACAGCATAGCAATATATACGTTTGCAAGTGATGAAATAATATGCAACCTGTGCATCAACGATGCAAAATATTTCAATATGTATGAAAAGTACACTTCAGCACACAGATGTATCAATAGATATGTATACATACATACGATTATTTTGCCAGCATAGCAACGTATTTATTTTCTTCGATATATAAAAATACTAGAAAGTTTATTAGCTGTTAAGAATTCAAAGTATTGATAAACAATAATATTCTTCTTCCAGATGACAAATAGAAGAAGTAATTTATACTATATATATGCTGTTTTTAATGATCCTGTCATCACCTCGAATTCTAAGAGTTTCATCGTATAGACCATTTCACACATATTTAAAAAAAAAAGAGAAATAAAACCTTAGGGAAGATATGTTTTTTCGTATGTCTCAAAAATTAACAAACATTGCCTATTAATAATGTTGAGTTCTTCTTCTTCTTCTTTTCACAGTAAGACATCTCGTTAACACGTGCAAATACAACACTTCAATGTTATGTTTTCTGCATGCCAGTAGCAGCAGAACGATAGAGAGAAATGTGTAAATAAATATGGGTTAATAATAGACGCTGTCGGAACAAGTATATTTGCTTCTATATAATGTTCTTTTATATGATATATATGGATGCATACCAAGCCTCCTGGTGAATAATCTCATTGAAAACAGCTGTATATATATATATATATATTCACTATGAACGTCAAAAGAATCAATCAAACGAATATGTTTTAAACATATGACAATTGATCGATCATGCGTAATCTTATATTACTATGAATAGTTGTTATTCAAAATGAAAAAGAAAATGATAATCAATTGATACTAACCTGAATACTTGGAGATCGGCTAGACAACGAAATTCACACTGTATAAATTTAACTTTCACGATTACAAACAGATCTAAAATATCAATGATAGAATTTTTTTTTATAGATCAACTATTCGAATGATAATAAATTTTTTTATGTTAAGATGAAATAAAGTCATCTATTCATTCTCTGCTAGATTGATCGATCAAAGAAAAGAAAAATAAAACACAAAGAACATCATCATAGTACGTTCTCTGCTAACAAGGTACTCACGTGCTTTCTCTTGTCATGCTTATATGATGAAGTTTGTTTCGTAATATTTTTTTGTCCTATTTGAAAAAATAATTACGTCATTACTATCAAGCAAAAAAAGACAAGAAAGAAAAAAAAAAGAAAAGATGTATAACTATAGACACTTGACCTCGAATAGTGTACGATAAGGAAAAAAATAAATAGCATCAAATTATTTAGGAGCTGTATTTTGTATGACTCGTTTTATCTTATTGACTGAGTCGTTTGATCATTAAATAAATAACAAATATATATATATACATATAAAGACTTATGCTCAATAGTATAGAATAAAATTAGTGAAAGTAATCGAAACTTACATACTTATCGAATAATAATCATGCTTAACATATGTTCAAAAGGTTAGAATAAAGAATTCTTTTGTCTTCTCTAATCCAACCCTGTACAGCCATTCACATAGTACAACGACAAGAAGCAATACTATCAAGTAATGACAAGAAACAGAAGGTTGTCTGATTTATCGACTCGAGTGCAATGAGGAACGGAGAACAAAAAAAAAGCACATTACTTGGTAAAAATGAAAGAAAAAGAAAGAATACATGATGGGGCAAAGTACACTCATTGCTAGTCGGCATAATAGGATAAAAATTCCGAAATAATGAAAGACAAAAAAAAAAGAAAAGGGCGAATACCTCAATCATTATCAATTTAAATTATACTAATTCTAAAATTTCTTCTATAAATCATAAATAAATAAATAAAATGTTATCGACCTGTTTTTTTATTCACCTACAATAGACAAATAAGAAGGAGAGAAGAAAAAACAACAAGCGAAATAACAATTATTATTAAGCATATTCTCACATACACAATTAACAAAAAAGAAATAAAAACGAGGCAAATAAATAAAAAGCATGGATGCAAAATATGTGTTTCTTTTTTCATTCGATTTTTTTTAATGATCTATACAAATTATAAATCAACTTTTTTCATTTTATCACTATCATCATCATCCAAATTGATGTCACTAAGATCAATGTCTTCAACAATATCTAATGTTCCATCTTGACCATCCCATGGTTCACTATCAATAATAGTTGGCAATTTTCCTTCAGCTACACCATTTAATGGTACAAGTGGACTGGTTAAACGACCAGCCGATAATTCTTTTAAAAATGAACTTATACCCGTTTGACTGAATGCACCTTTTAAGACAACATATTTTCCTTTGCGTGCATTAATAGCAACTTGTGCTGGATAACCAAAACCTCCAATACCAACTGAATCTTCAAGTTTTTGTTGACGAAATGCTTCAACCCATAACCAACCCCAACGATTACGTTTATAATTTTCAGCAAAATTTTTTAACATTGTTAAATGTTCATTACGACATGCTGATTGACAATCAAGAATATTCGGTAAAAATGATATTATACATAATTGTTTTTCTGCACAATTATCATCTAAAATAGCTTGATTTGTTATTTCAAGAACATCCGGTGCTGGAACATTTGCTTGAAATTTATCTAATGCCCATGCAACAATATCCTATTTGAAAAGAAAAATTGTATTTTGTTTTGTTTTGTTCATATGAATAAATAAATAATAACATACACTTGATGTGCGTCCACCATCGTATTCTTCAGCTTGACCATCTTTTCTACCAGATGGAAAAAATTTTATTGTTGGAAAACCTTGGATTCCATATCGTTGTGCTAATTGTGTATGAACAGTTGCATCAACTACACCTAATTTTACTTTGCCTTTAAGCTCCGTTGCAGCACGAGCCCATTCGGGTGCTAAATTCTTGCAATCTATCAAACATATGCACATATATATAATTTAGAAGAGATTATTCTACACTTAATACTTACGGCCACACCATGGAGCCACTAAAAAATAAAAATGAAAAATAATTATTAATTCAAATGTCAAAAGTTATTTTTATCAAAATTAATCTAACAAGAAAGTTTTCATTTCAAATAAGATTATAGATCGTTTCAATCTTTTATATATGTATACTGAAATCTTCGATAATAGTAGCTAGGTACGTATGGAGCATCTATATTTTGCTAGATAGGTTATTTTCAAAAATTTTTATGTGTATTTAAAATGTCTGAATCAAATTTAACCAGACGCATACTAATTAAAAAGAAAATTACTTATTATGTTTTTCCTTGACATGTCAATTCGAATACATCTATTACGAAGATAAATTTTGAATAAAAATTACATGCTCGACTGATTTGTTATTAAATTTGAAAAAATAGCGAGCAAGGAAATCGAGTCTGACAGAAGCCAAATTATTGATCAAAACAAAAAAAAAACTTACTGAATTCAACAAGCCACATATCTTCCGAATCGATAACTATTGACTAGAAAAGAAAAAAACCGAGTTTAAAAACAAAAGTAATTCAATTTTGAAAAATAATTTACATCAAAATTACTATCTGTTAATTCAATTGTGTCTTTTTCTCCACTTCCGCTGCTGCTACTTCCACCACTACTACCTCCAGTTTGTTTACCCAAACGTTCATTTGCAATCGTTCTTAATTGACTAAGAGCTTGTTCAACGATAGCATCAGCTGTTCGTCCACCTTGATAATTTGTTGGAGATCGTTTATTACTTCCAAATATTTTTATTGTTGGAAATCCTGATATTCCATATTGTTGACCGAGTGATTTATGTGTATCAGCATCAACAGCACCAATTTTAACAATACCTTTTAATGCTGTTGCAACACGTTTCCATTCGGGTGCTAAATTTTGACAATCTAAATTTTTCACAAAAAGAAAACAACAACCATTATAAAATGAAACTAACTCAATAAATTAGATACTTACGACCACACCATGGTGCATAAAATTCTACAAACCATAAATCTGAACTTTGCATGACAAGACGATCAAAATTAGATGAATCAAGTTCAATAACATCATCACTTGAACTGTAGAATCCATTTGTTGTCGAAACAAGAAAACCAATGATGAAAAAGGCTAAACAAGTATGCATTTTTGATTTTATCTAGAATGTTAATTGAACGATGTAGAAATGAAATGAAAGGAGAGAAAAAGAGACTTGATGATCTAACTCTAATCCTATCAACCAACATTTGAATTACACGATCTTGTTTTCTCTTTCTCTTCATTATCTCTCTTCTATTCCCCAATCACGATTCAGCGCGTTTGACCGATGTCATGGACCTATGAAAAATAGTTTTCAAACCTCTACTATGATGTCATTAAGAAAACATACAAACATTTATGGTTTTGAACATTAGCTTATTTAATTTTTCTGTATTAATTTAATTCGGAAAGAAAATCATTTAGCTTAAAGTCTACTTTTAAGACGTTGAGTGTAACATTTTTTATGATTGGTTAAATTTATATAGTCAACTCATAGATGTAAATAAACAAAACTAAATAATCTATATATAATATCCTGCATTGGAATAGGAAGATATTATCCATTTTACTTTTGGTTTTTATTTATTTATTTTTTTCAGAAATTCGAATAGAACAAAAAGAAAACAAGCAGAAACAAGATGAACAAAACTCCAATTTTACTTGGTTCACTTATTTCAAAAATTAGCCCCAATATTATTCGTTATGCATCAACCGCAAGTGCATCAACAGCTGCTGTATGTTATCAATATTACTCTATCGTTAGTCTAAATTATGTTTTTTTTCTATTTTAGCAAAAAAAGGTCGCCGTTCTAGGTGCTAGCGGTGGTATTGGACAACCACTTTCTTTATTACTTAAATTAAGTCCATTGATCAGTGATTTATCACTTTATGATATTCAACATACAAAAGGTGTCGGTGCTGATCTTAGTCATATTGAAACACGCACTAAGGTGAAAGCCTTTGTTGGTAAAAATGAATTATCTGATGCACTCAAAGGCATGGAACTTGTTCTTATTCCAGCCGGTGTACCACGAAAACCAGGTAAAACTAAATTGTTTTATTTAATAAAAGTAAAAATTCTTTCTTTAAGGAATGACACGAGATGATTTATTCAATACAAATGCAACAATTGTTGCTGATCTTGTTTCTGCTTGTGCTAAAAATTGTCCACGAGCTGTCATTGCCATTATTGCAAATCCAGTTAATTCAACAGTTGTAATTGCATCGGAAATTATGAAAGCACATAATGTTTACGATGAAAAAAAAGTTGTCGGTGTTACAACATTAGATGTTGTTCGTGCTGCAACATTTATTGCTGAAGCTAAAGTTTGTTTTTTGTTTTGACAAATCTTCGTGTTTTTTTTAAATTTATTATTCTTTGTGTAGGGTCTTGATCCAGCAAAAGTTAATGTTCCAGTTATTGGTGGTCATTCAGGAAATACAATTATTCCATTACTTTCACAAACATCACCACCTGTTTCATTTTCTCAACAAGAATTAGAAGCTTTAACAACACGTATTCAAAATGCTGGAACAGAAGTTGTTGAAGCTAAAGCTGGAGCTGGTAGTGCAACATTATCAATGGCACATGCCGGTGCAAGATTTGCATTTGCTGTTCTTGAAGCTTTAAGTGGTAAAGAAGGCGTTGTTGAATGTGGTTATATAGCATCACGAGAAACAGAATTTAGTTATTTTGCTACACCACTTCTTTTTGGCGTATGTCTATTTCGTCGTTTGGATTTTGTTTTTGAAACTTCTTTTTTTTTTGTTTTTAGCGTAATGGTGTTGAGCGCAGTATGGGTGTTGGCAAACTATCTGATTTTGAAAAGAAATTAATTGAAAAAGCCAAAAAAGAACTTAATGCAAACATTCAAAGTGGTGTTACATTTGCTAAGCAATATTTATCCAAAACGCAATGATTTCAATAGAGAAAAAAAAACTGGATTCTATCATAATTAATTTTCTTTTTTTTTGTTGTTGTTTTATCACTATAACCTAAATCTAGCATTGACATCCATGCTTTGTCGTCTAGAGAGTAGCCCTTCAATAAAGAAAAAATAAGGAAACTATATTCAACACACTAGTGAAATCTTTTGATCTTTAGATTAAAATAAAAATTTTCAAAATAAAAGAATAATAAAAATGGTACGATTAAATGTTGATCAAATGAGCCGTTATGTTAGTCCAGTTAATCCTGCTGCTTTTCCAACACTTAGTATAGTTTTATTGGGTACATTAAAAAAATCTGTAGAAATGGCTTGAAGTAATAAGTTTTATTTATTTAGGTATTGGCATATTTTTAATGTCATGGTTTTTTGTTTATGAAGTCACGAGTACAAAATATACTCGAGATTGGAAAAAAGAAATTCTTATTGCTCTGTATGTTGTATTTTAATGTTTGTATGAAAATAATTGATGTATTATTTTATTTTAGTGTGGCATCAATTTTCCTTGGTTATGGTGGCCTGTTTCTTTTACTCTGGGTTGGAATATTTGTTTGAATACATATGAAAGAATGACTAATTGTTGAAACATGAAATCTTATGGTTGTTTTTTTTTCTTCTTCTGTTTATTATAAGAGTCGATTCATTTGTTGTTATTATTTTGGGCTTGTTGATCATCGTGTTTTTTTTTCTAATTTAAAACAAAGTCTTATTACCTGTTTAAAGCAAAAAAAAAATTTTCTCGTGACTTTTAGATTATTAAAAAACAAAAAAAAATCATTTTTGTTTTAATGTATATATTAAACAAACTGTACATATTCAATGAAAAGGTATGTAATTGACTTAATCAATATAGATCATCAAACGATGTTATTTCTTGGAGTGGCAGCGCCACTAAGAAGTCAAGCCCTTTTAACAATGCTGATCCCGCTCCCGAAAAACTTTGAGAGTTGTTGCTAAGGATACTCCTACATATGGGCTGAGAAGGGTTGAGCCCCTCATGACTAAGATTCTGACTCCATTACTAATCTTTTGGTTGTTCAAAAGATGAATTGTTTATTTTTTTCTTTCTAAATAAATATAGATGGAATAAATCACTTGCTAAAATATGTTTGTTTCATTTTTCAAGACAAACATTGATGAAGAGGAAAAAAAAACGGCAGCTGGTTGTATGAGAAAAAGGAAGAGAGAAAACATAACATACTTTGGTCTCTAGAGGTTAACAGAGTGTATTTTAATAAAGAAGCATCTGATGAAACATTTTTTTTTCATATGTTCACATCACGCCTTATAAACGTGACTAGATCGGGACAAGCAAAAGGAGAGAACAATAATAAATGGGTGATCAGTAAAGAAAATGAATAAACTATCATTTGCACATACATCAGTTAATGTATATACGTCTATGTCTACTATTGACCTTATCTCAATGGACATAATTTAATTTATATATAGATTGACATTTTGTATATTTTGTTTCATAGAAAAATAAATAAGATTTTTTTTATTTAGTCTGTTTTCATTTTATGGTATTTTTGTCAAAATAGGTTTATTGACATTTAGACAAGTTTTATTTTTCCGTTGACGTACAACTTTACTTTATCTTTTTTTATTTGTCAAAAGATTGACAAATGATCAAAATAGAGTATAAAGAAAAAAGGAAAAAGAGCAATATATTAACATTAGCCTTGAGAACCCTTATATAGAGCTCGATCCATTTAAGTGCATTCTTTTAGTACTGATGTAATATGTCATACGTCTTTCTTTTTCTATTCTTTCTTTCAGTTACGATTGGTCTTCTTGATTTTGTTTCTTCTGTATGAGTACAACTAACTTAGGATGTTTTGTGATATTAATATACTTGAATCTAAAGAGAATATGAAAGAAAAAATGTGAATATAAGTCATCATCACATGATGGTGTTTTTTTCTTTGCTTGTTCTTCTCGTTTTTTTTTCTCATTCTTTCTATATGTAGCATGCGCTCAGCTGCTGACTGATTGTGTCGCGTTATCGGTATTCTACGCACACAAACGCACATGAGACAACGTATAAGCTACATCATTGGGGTCGTTGATAATTGCGCGCCTGGCTTTATAGAGAGAAAAGGTGACCTGTATATATTTCATATAGATGAAGAATATTGAATTGATGAATGCATATACATCAATAAACTACTATTGCATCATTTTTCGCCTCGCTTTTTTTTTAATCCAAGTCTCCATCGTAAAATATTATTTTTCTTTCTTTCTGATTGTATTTCATCATCATAAATTTAACTATAACTGTTTTGATTTTTAGACGACAAATTATTTTTTAACTATTGTATATGATTTAAATTAATAAAACAAAAATAACTAAGAAGAATTAAAAATGCCTGAAACAATTGGTGATTATCAATATAGCAAACGAGATTTAATTGGACATGGTGCTTTTGCTATTGTATTTCTCGGTCATTCAAAAAGTGTATGTGATTAAAATGAATATTTCTGTTTTTTTTTTTGTTCTATATATTTTTTTATTAAATGTTTTAAAGAATCCTGAGCAACAAGTGGCTATTAAACAGATAACAAAAAAACAATTAGCTAAATCACAAAGTTTATTAGAAAAAGAAATTAAGATTCTCAAAGTAAAAAAAATTAAAAGAATCTTTTTCTTTTTAAGTTGATTTTTATTTCTAGGAATTAACTAAACTTAAACATGAAAATTTAGTTGCTCTACTTGATTGCAAAGTAAAACTAACAAAAAAATGTTTTTATTTGTATTATGATTTTTTTTTTCTAATAGGAATCTCAAAACAATGTTTATCTTGTAATGGAGGTTTGTGTTTATAATTTTCTTTTTGTATTTATTTGTATTCAATGAGTTTTGTTTTTTCGATTCAATTTAGTTTTGTAATGGGGGTGATTTAGCTGATTATCTTCAATCAAGACAAACACTGAGTGAAGATACAATTGCTATTTTCTTTCGACAAATTTGTGAGAAATTATTAATTGTCTAATTAATTTGAAATTTAATTAATTGTTTTAGCCGCTGCTATTCGTGCTTGTCATGAACATAATGTTGTAAGTATTTCTTCATTTAAGAAAAACAAAATATTATATTTATTTTTCAAGGTTCATCGAGATTTAAAACCACAAAATATTCTTTTATCGCATCCAGATAAAAATAATCAACGTGTACAAGATATTATATTAAAAATAGCTGATTTTGGTTTTGCTAGATTTTTATCTGATGGTGTTATGGCTGGAACATTATGTGGTTCTCCAATGTATATGGCACCGGAAGTTATTCGATCATTACAATATGATGGAAAAGCTGATTTATGGTCAATTGGTACAATTATGTATCAATGTTTAACAGGCAAAGCACCATTTCAAGCACAAACGCCACAAGCACTTAAACAATTTTATGAAAGAAATGTTAATTTAGCACCATCGTAAGTTTATTTTAATATTTGTTTTTTTTTTTGATACATTGATTACTTAATGGTTTTAGCATTCCACCGTCAACTTCACGAGAATTAACAGATTTAATTGTAAGAATTTTAAAAAGAAATCCAAAAGAACGTATTGATTATGAAGATTTTTTTAATCATCCATTTTTAATAAAAAGTAAATACAAAGAAAAAATAAAATAAATTTATTTATTTATTTATTTATTCAAATAATTTAAATTAGGTCAGCCTGTACCAATATCATCAGGACGAACACAAGCATCAAGTATGAGTATTATTAGTTCATCACCATTACGTGAAGGAATTTTATCTCAAGGACAAGATTTCGTAAGTTTTATAGGGATACTTTCTTGAAGAAAAACAAAAATTTTATTATTTCTTTTTTCTCAATAAGGATTTAACGATTCCTCGGCAATTTAGCCGTCAGATTGATCCAATTCCTGAATATGAACCAGATGTTGTACCAATTACATTGCCAACACCAACACAATCAACAAATAATAAGCGTCGTTCACCATCACCAAATCCTGTAAATAATCCTGTTCCAATAATAAATACAAATAAATCAATAGCTAAAATTACATCAAATCCATTAATACCAGTATCAACAAAACCAGATGATTTTGTATTTATACCTGAACATATTACTATTGAAAAAAGTCTTCCGACAGGTTCGAAACTATTTGAAAATAATTTATTATAATATATATATGTATATATGTATGTGTTGTTTCTTTTAGGTAATCATACATCATTTGCTCAACTTTCAAGAGAAAAACGTCTTATAAAAGAACAACATCGTACATTATCTGAAGGAGTTTTGTAAGTTATTTTGTTATAAAAAAAATATATAAAATAAATATTCTTTTTATTTTTTACAGATGTTCAAAGGAAATATCATCACAACGTCCAGATAATCTCGCATTAATGGCTATTGAAAATACAACTACAGTAAAAGATACTCGGGCTTCCAATATTACTCAACCAATACCAGTTCCATCACAAATTCATAATTATGAAAAAATGCAAGAATCAAGAGATCGTACGAAAAGTGTTGGTGCTGCATCAGCTGGTAGTCCAAATAGTAGTCCATATGATGGTATATCTAATTAAAATTTTCATAATAAGTTTCTTTAAGTTTTCTTTATCTTAATTAGATCGTCGTGCATCATTAGATCGTCTTCGTCAAGCAAGTATTGTTTCATCGAGTTCGGATTTAGCTAATTCAATTAGTCCACCTGCTGTACGATTTACTGTTGACACTACAATTGTATCAGCAAATCCATTTAGTTTAGTACCATCAACACGTCGAACAAGTAATTTATATTTCAATATAATTAAAATTAAAAACCTTTTTTTTCTAATTTAAGATACAACACCACCACCATCACAAACAATTCAACAATCAGCATCAAATTCAAGTCTTGTACAACAACAAAATTCAAAATTAGTTATTGATACATCACCACTTAAATCACGACAAAAATTAACTGATATCGATAGTAACTATTCATTGATTTTTTTTGCATTATATTCATTGAAATATTTCTTGTCAGTTCCACATGATCGATTCTTTGAACAAGAAAATAATACTGGATTTTTTACAACAAATATCGATCAACAAACAACAGCAGGACAAATTCGTCGTCAACGTGTAACTTCTATGTTTGGTGATACACAACCTGAAGGTCGTTATTATGAACCACAAAAAATTACAGATGATGCATTAATGGATGTATGTAGACAGTTTTTTTGCGAACAGAAAAATAAATTTTATTTATTTTGTTTTCTTAATCCTTGCAGAATGAGCATCATGATACATTAAATAAACTTGAATTTATTCTTCAATTAGTTGAATATATATTAAATTTAGCTACTTCACGTACAAGTTTATTAACAGAATCATTAAGTTTAAATAATAAGAACAATAATAATAATTTACCACGACCTAAAATGGATCGTCTTAGTCATGTTGATAATTTATATAAACGTGCTGAACAATTAACACTTTATGTTAAAGCAATGCATTTTCTTAGTTCAGCTATGTGTCTTGCTCGGTAAGTAAATTATACTGTTTCAAATTTGTTTTTCCTTACACTTTAGTATTTTCTTCATTTTAGTGATACACTCAAATCTGGAAAATTACATTCAACAGCTAATGTTCGGTAAGGAATTATTTTCGATGTATATAAAATAGATAATAAAATTTGATTCTGTAAAAATGGTTGGATTTTTAAGTGTATTATTATAATAAATAAGATAATGTTTTTTATTGTTAAGTTACTTTTTCTTATCTTGGCGATTTCGGGTACTAAGTTATTTTTAATTTTTATTATAAATTTTAGTATTTATGTTAATAACAATAGAAAAGAATAAAAGTTTAAATAAATTTCAATAGCTTTCTCTCTCGACCTCTGCATCTCAGATATTATGAGTATGTAATACGAAATCTAATAAATATTTAACTTTCAGACGAGACCATTTGAATCTTGTTAATCTTATTTAAATATGCATAGTAGTGACCACCTCTAATCTTTCTCTCCGAATAATTAACATACAAATTTTTTAACGAAGACTTTTTTCACATGGTTTTTTTTTTATAGAAATGCTGTTAGTGATCTGAATAATAAATATAAACATTGTTTAATAATGTGTAAACAATTAAGTACACAAGAAGAATTATTAACACACGATGAAATGAAAGGTGTTACATTAACAGCCGATAAATTGCTTTACTTACATGCAATCGATCTCTGTTTAAATGCAGCTAGTTTAGAATTTTTTGGTAAAGCTCAAGAAGTAAGAAAATAATTCATTTTTGTTTGTTTTTAAAAAATTAGTTATTTCTTTTTTTGTTTTTCGTAGTGTATTGGACCATATACTCAAGCCCAAGTTTTATTTCATAGTTTAAGTCAACAAGCAACAACCGATTGTGATCGATCAATATTACGACAATATCGTGAAGCAGTCGAACGACGTTTACATTGTCTTCAAAATCAGGGACTTGTTGTGCTCAATGAGCCGTCGAGCACTTCTTAATGTTTATATCAACGTTTGTGTGTTTCTGTTAATTCATTATGTATCTCTAGTCACTATATGTGTATATTTGTGTGTCTGTAGATCTGTTATTGTTGTATGTCATTAAAGAAAACACAAATACAAAATGACAAACAACAATGAACGAGAACATGTCTATTAAAACAGTAGAACAATTTAAAAGAGAGAGAGAGATCGTTTAAATAAATAAATATGTGTATATGTAAAGATTTAGCCGATTCGCAAAAAAATGAAAATGTATGTTTGTATATTTAAAATAAAATCCTTCTTGTATGTCGTTTCTTTGAATTGAGCTATTCATTTTCTATACTTTATTTTCAATATTTCTCTCGTTCAGATTTATCGATGTATTTCTATTCAGTCTGGTCTGTCCTTTACTGTGATTAGTCGATTTCACTTTTTTTTTCTTGTACATTTATTCTCTATATATATATGTATGTATGTATTTATGTCCGTGCTGGGTTTAATGCCTTTCTCTTTTTAATATTCAATTAATATTGCATGTTATTTGTCTGTATTGAACTATTGGCCTCAATTTTTTTTTCTTTTCTATGACTTTGACGATTTCAAGCAAGAAACAAGCCACTTTAATATATTTGACATGTAACTGTTTTTTTTTTCTTCTGTAGATGGGATATGGATGATATGCAAAGAGAACATGTTAGAACAACGAAAACTATCTCCGTTGGAATATATGGATGGAGAAAACGTTGTTTATATTGTCTTTTAATTTTTTTAACATTAGTTGTTGTTATTAATGTATGTTTAACATTTTGGTTATCAATCGCTTTAGGCCTTCATTGGGTTTGTTTTATTGAATAATTATATTTATATAATGATTTTAGTAATTTCTACATGAATATTATAGGGAAGTATTGGACCTATTTCAATATTTAAAAGCCATGTTATATTTCGATCACCAGTTGTATTTAAAGATGGACTTATTGCAAATAAAATTTCTAGTGGTGATCAAGTTAGAATGATATTTAAAAAAACAAAAAAGATTTGATTTAAATATTCGTTTGTTTTATTTTTACTTTATAGTCATTAAGTATTCAATCGGATAAAAGTGTGCATATTCAAAGTGGACCAGAACACAAACATTCAAGATTGACAATTGGTAACAATTTTGATTTTTTCGAAAGAGAATTTCTTTTTAATGACTGAATTCGTTTCCTATGATGAAATTTAGATCAAAATGGAATTCATGCTAATTGTGAACAATTTCAAATAAATGATCGAACTGGTTCAAAACTTGTCTCTATTGATTCATCACAAATTCAAGTTTATACTGATGATCTATCGATGATTTCTGGTATGATGAATTAATAAATAAATTCTATACTTAGTATTTTATTGTAGAGAAAAAACGATGGGAACTTCCAAATTTAATAACAAATTCAATTACTTCAGATAAGAATTTAAGGTAGGTTAGAGTTAAATCGATCATAGCACTGTAATTTGTCTTTATTTAGTTTATCAGCAGATGAAGGTCGATTAATACTATCATCTAACAGTAATATTGATATATCTGCTAAACAAACACTTGACTTTGTTGCTAATGATATTGTTATCAAGGCACATACGGTAAATAAGATATATTGGTAAATATTGTTTTATATTTAGTTTAATTAGATTCGTCTTCAAAATGAGCATATTTATTTTGAAAAATTACGTTTTTTCGATCGTACTAAAGCACCAATAGTTGCTCGTAGTTCTCAATCTTATTCTGTATGCATTTGCGAAAATGGTCTTGTCTTTGCTGCGATTGATTGTCGTCAACATGCATTTGATTGTCGTGAATGATAGATATATAGCTCTGATATTTGTAATTTTCCTTCATTTTTCTATGCATTTATTGAAAAACAAAAATATCAACATTTTTCTTCTGTTATCATTTTTCTGTTGTTCTTTAAAAGTATTCTCAGGCAGTATTTTATGATAATATGTTCGATAATTAGTCATTTTTTAAAAAATACAATTTAATATTTGTGTGTAATGTTTTTTTTTCTTGATAATTAATAAAACTATATATGTTGTATCAATGTTTTAAAATTAAAAACAATACCTACAAACATCTTAGATAAATGATCGGAGAACTGATTGAATTGCAAACACTTGAAGCATCGGATGATCGAATATGGTGTGTAGCTTGGAATCCAACAGGCACATTGTATGGTTCAATTTGTCTGTTATACAAATCATGATTTAAATTATTTTTTAGACTTGCTTCATGTGGTTCAGACAAAATTATCAAAATTTGGGGACGTGAAGGTGATCATAGATACAGCTAATTTTGTGCTTTGATTGATTCGAAAAAATATTGATGATTATGCAAAAAAAAATCACCAATGATCTCTTTTACTAAATAGATAAATTTAGTATTGATAATTTGTTCTTTTTATATTCAGGAGAACGAAATTGGATATGCAAAAGTACAATGACCGATAGTCATACGCGATCAATTCGTTCTGTAGCTTGGTCATATTGCGGTAATCGTCTTGCATCAGGCGGTTTCGATGCTAAAGTATCAATATGGGAAAGACAAGGTCAAGAATTTGTCTTACAAACAACATTAGAGGGTCATGAGAATGAAGTTAAAGATGTTGCTTTTTCACGTAGTGGACTTTATTTGGCAACTTGTGGTCGAGATAAAAGTGTTTGGATTTGGGAATGTAAGTGGACGGCTTTTTTTTTTTTACTAAATAATATTATTCAATCAGTGTGTTATCTATCAGTGTGCCTATGCTTTCAAAAATAGATGCTTGTCTTTCCTGAAGAGAAAATCTGCATAAAACAATATCATCAGGCAGGAAATAATTTTCTTTTTTTTTGTACAGATAATGAAGAAGAAAATGATTTTGCTTGTGCTGCTGTTTTAACAACACATACACAAGATGTCAAAAATCTAAAATGGCATCCACAAAAAGATGTAAGAATTTGTTTTTAATTGTTCTTAATAATATAAACTATTTATTCAGTCAGATTTTAGCTTCATGTAGTTATGATGATACAATTAAAATATATATTGAAGATAGTGATGATTGGTCTTGTGCATCTAGCTTAGGTATATTTTATTGAATAGAATAATATCTAAAACCTGAAATCTATTTTTTTTTGCTTCTTCCATAATAAGAGTCACATACATCAACAGTTTGGGCATGTGATTTTGATGCTACGGGAAAACGACTTGTTTCATGTAGTGATGATAAAACAGTTAAAATATGGCAAGCTTATGAAAAAAATAATCAACAAGGTAGAAAGATTCATAATAATAATTTACTCTTCTTTTTTATTAAATCGTAATTAAGGTATTCGTTCAACAAATGGTGTTTATCCAGTATGGAAGTGTGTATGCACGATTAGTGGCTATCACAAGCAACCTATTTATGATGTTAAATGGTAATTTTCTCATTTTCTTTTTTAATTTTAAAAAATTATTACTATATTATATAAAGGTGTCCTCTAACTGGTTTGATTGCCACAGCTTGTGGTGATAATAGTATACGTATTTTTCGTGAAGAAGAATCAAAACAAACAGATGCTCCACCAAGTTTTTCATTGATTGCTTCGAATACCCATGCTCATTCACAAGATGTTAATCGACTATCATTTAATCCGAAAGAAGCTGGTTTATTAGCATCATGTTCTGATGATGGTACGGTTAAATTATGGCGAATTGAACAAAAACTTATATGATTGATTTTTTTCTAAATTTCTTTATGTTTAGCTAATTTGTTTTTTTTGTTTTTCAATAAAATTAAAAATATGGCATAAATAAGATCCAATCATGTCGGCATGTATCGTTAAAAAATGTAGAATAAAATGAGAAATTTTCAGTTCATATCAATAAGTAATGAATCATTTTTAAATTCAACAGTTAATGGGATGTTTGTATGCTAAAAATAATCGATTGAAATATATATTTAATGTGAAAAAATAAAATAAAGTTTTATCTACTTTCACTGGTATTTCACATAATCGGTCAGTTTTGAATGAAATTTCAGACGAACGAGTACTCAATCGATTTTTTATTTCGATGAGTAAATCTGATGCTGTATCTGTGAATGTACTTTACATATAAAAAAAAATACAAATATATATTTAAAGAAATTCCCTTAATATTTACCTCGATCGTCTTGTCTGATTTACATTATTAGATGGGATTGGTGGAGAACCAATAATATCGAGATCTTGTCGAAGGAGTTGATCATTGTTAGGACGTGTTTTTGAATTTAATGGACATGAACGTGTAGGAGATGGAAAAGGACGTGGCGTTGCTGTTTCATAAATATTATATGTATGAAAAGATCGATTAGCTGCTCGATATCGATAAAAGGTTGGTAATGGTTGTTTTTCTTCACTAATAGAAAAAAATAATTCTCATAACTAGTACAAAATAAAATGTTTTATTTTATTTACTTTTGCGATTTGTTACTTTTTATACAATAGCTACGACAATAATACATAAAAATAATGATTAATAATAACGTTAATATAATAGCAAGTCCAATAAGAAACCAATGTACATAAGCAAATGGAACAAATTCTACGAGTTTATATAATTTATTACTTGATTGTATTGTTGTTGATGGAACTAATACAATAGAATGTGTTGTAGTCACTATTCTGGATGTCAAGAATCGCGAATTATCTTGATAATGATAGTTTTCAGGTTTACCACCATAGAGATCATAATAAGTAAAAAAGCCACTGGTCGCCATTAACATGTGTTCTATACTTATTAAATGCACGTATATTTTTCTCTTCTTCTCTATCGGACAGATGGTTATGCATACATACCCTGGACAAAGATACCGAAAAATGTTTTCTCTTCTTTATATGCATTTCTTGTTTTATTTGATAGTCGATAACATAAACATACTGAAGAGGATGGTTTTTTTTTGTTGATTTTGTAAAAACAATCAATAATGAAAAACGAATGACCTAATTGATATTAGTTAATAAGATAATAAATTTAAAAAAGTTAACATCGTTTGCGTGTCCTACGTTAACATCTGTCTGATTCGAAGCAAAGACGAAGACAATAAGTGGTTAAGTTTTGTTAACAGTATAATAATATTCCCTAGAAGAACTTTGATTAATTACTTAGAGAAAATATGATAAACATCAATTTGTATGACAGAGTTGCTGCGGTTTTCGTAAAAGTTGATTAATTTATGTACATTAACCTGTTAAAATTGTTTTTTCATAAAATTATGTTTATATATTTGAAAATATGTTTGTATCAATAGCAGAAGACTAAAATTTCTATTAGAAAATGAACTTTATATGCTTTATCATCAGCAGAAATATTAAAGTGATTGATTGTTGCAGCATGACATATACTTTACGGACGTTTTGATAACAAAACACAGAAAAACTGGCAAACCAGACTTTTTTTTTCATAGTATTTCCGATGTTCTTATAGGATTGAGGAAAATTTCTGAATTTTTGTATTCAAAAGGATAATACCTCAATAGTTATAGTTAGAAAAATCAAGAGTCAAAAGTTACAAAAATTTAAATGAAAAGTCACTTTTACTGAAAAACATTACCTGAAAACCAATGAAAATATATTGAAAAACTACTATTAAAAATTATCAAAAATCTCGCTAGTATTTTTATTGTTTGTATAGAAAAAAGTGATAGAATCGAGCTGAAAATTTCAGAGAATACTAAACTTACTATTCTCTATAAAATATCAAAACATCAGTGAATTCTAAAATATTACTCTATCATCGATGGCTTGTAGTGCCTGATTATCTCAGATGCCTACTCTTAAGAAAATAGACGTCAACTTGTTGGTTTATTTAATTTTTTCAAGTTCTTCCAGACATGATTCGATGTGTATCACTAGTTATATCTAGAAAAATATCCATTTGATAATTGTTTACGTAGACATATGGTGCACGATTTGCCGTCATTTTTACAATAACACAAGGCATATCCAGTTGTATGTGCTATTAGATGACGCAATCAGCTAT